TTCTACCAGATTCTGAGAAGCTTGCCGAAAAATTCAATCGGCACTGAAAAACTCGTTGAAAAATTCCACCGACACCAAAAAATTCACCAAAAATTGAAATTTTTCCAAAAATTTTTTTAAAATCTGGGATTTTCTAGATTTTTTTTTAGAAAAACCCCCTTCGTTTTCTAAACCCAAAAGTCTTTGAAATTTTTTTACAACTTTTCTACTTATTGTGTTTTCTGACTTCTATTTCTGTGTATGTTCGTGTGTGTCCTCCAAGCTTAGCTAGAATCTGTATTTATAGGACTTTAGGGTCGCAGAATCCCAATCCAAATAGAAATCCCAATTTCTTTTGATCTTTTAGTTACACTCAACCTCTCTCAATCCGTCCAAACTCCTCAACTTAGTGTTTTACACCAATTTAACCCTTTTTTTCATTTTTCTTCATTTTTTTCCATTTTTATTATTTTTTAATTAATTAACAAAACTAAAAAGTAGACCTTTGACAGATTAGGTGTCTACATGTATTGCTTCCAATTATTGTAAGTAATTTCGCATAGTACTGTGTGCTTGCTTGACTTCATAGGGTTACGACCAAAGGGCTTGTGATTTAAAGATGGAGTTACGGTACCTTGATGCATCTTACTTTTCATTTGGCTACCAGAGCTTTTTATTCAACTATGCAGTTTTTGGTTCTGCTCATTGTTCGAAATTGCAAAAACATTTATGCTCGAAGGACACATTCTCTACACCTTTGATTTTTGCTTACACAACCAATAGCATGTTATATTTCTTCCTACTTCCATGACTGTCATAAATGTTGTTAATTTTTACTTTTACTAGCTCAAACATTCTTTAAATTAGCTATAGTAGTGGATAAGCTTTAATATGTGGAGGTATATATGTTTCGCGTGAACCTGCTTTTAAGAGCAAAAAAATCAATGAAGAATATATCCAAATTAACCAACAAAAATATCTAGCATTTATAATTTGAGTTCTTTTTTATATAGTGGTAGTGAAAATTTGTAATTCACAAATAAATTAAGAAATTGTCATACTTTTTTTAATTAATTTTTTTTAATATACTTTAAAAGATATTGTTTATGTCGAGTTGTCTGTGAGGATAAAACCCTAAAATTAAAGGGAAAAAGAAAAAGAGAGACTAAAGACAAAGGCTGAAAGTGTTCCCAGTGTTTGTGCCCTAACACTCATGTCAAAAATCGACAAATAAGGTAAGTAGGAAAAAGAATACAAAAAAGTAAAAGAAAGCAAGATGGTGAAATGATACCTAGAAGCTGCTATTTCTACATGTAAAGTAAAGGGTTTTGGGTAGCTTAGGTTATCAAGGTTGGCCCTAGGGTCAAGGTGACCTAGTAGGTCGAGCTAACCTGGATGTTGACTATCCTCTCTAGGGATGATAAGTCAATGTCTAGGGGAGTCTACTATGTAGGTTGGTGAGGTGGCCAAGCTAACGTGACCCCATGAAATCAAGTCAACATGACACATAAGCTCAGCTTAAAAGTCAAAAATACCCTTACCTATCTATTGATTATCTCTAATGAAAAAAAAGATTATTTTACCCTTTGGACCTAAAATTCTATCCCCTCATCGAGCAGTCTAAGTATCATATTAACCAATGTTGATTGAGCCAATCTAATATGTACTTAGTGATATCGAGCTTAAATTTTTAAGCATGCACTTTAAGAACTTTATTCAATTGATTCGATCTAAAGTCACCAAGGTGAATGGTCAAGGGTGCCGACATACTTCGTGTGTCAAACATTGCATCTAATTATGATTTACTATTCTATTTGTGATGGGCTGACATGGGACTTTTACATTTTCTTTGCTTTTAAATTTATCCTTTGCATTAGTACATGCCTGACCTAACATGTCATAGGTGTTTAGCTGATGAGAATAACCTTTGTCGAAATTACTGACATGCCCCTTTTATAAATTTATCTATTGTCAGGAAGCATATCTACATTTAACTAGGAGAAAGAAAAACTAACGATTAAATGAATTAAGATTAAGAATGTGAAAGGTCATCCTTGGTAATCGTTTTGGCTACATGGCACAATCTGGAGTGTTTATCTGATCTCTATAGCTATATAAAAGGCCTTCATGTATCATATCACAATCTTTTAACTTTCGAGCTGACCTGATTTAACTACCTCTAATACTTCTAACCTTTTTTCAACCAACTTTTTTCATTTTTCCAACTTTTTGATACGTTTCTTACCCTTTTTCACTATGTCTTTTTATTCTAGCATGTTTGGAAACTTTAGGGTAGAAGTAAAGGAAGTTAGCTTGGCTGTCAAGCTTTCTTCTCAGATGATGAAATCCCCTTTATTATTGAATGAAGAGATTATAGCCAAGCAATGAAGCTTTTGAAAGGCAATAGCCTTTAGGTAATAAGCAAAATAAGGGGTCCGATTATGTCAAGAAAAAAGATGGGGGTAAGGCCGAGGAATAAGTCACCCAAGATAATGATGGTGAAGACTTCTTTCAATTCTACACCCCATATGGCTTAGGTATAACCTCAAAGAATGTGAAGTAGAGTTTAAAGGGCAAGGCCAACCTTGAGTATGACCCTAACATGTGCTCATTGCATCATGCCATTGCTTTGAATGTTAGATTTGATTGACTTTTCAAAAAAAGGGTATAGCATAATAGCACTAATCACCAATAATAGAATCACTACTTCCTTAGACACCAATAAAATTTGGGTGTATTGGGAGACTATAGTGGCCGGTCTAAGGTTTTTTTTACATTTTTTTCATCGTAAATCTTCTTCTTTCTTACAATTTGACTATCACTCAATTTGACCCAAATTCTTTGCAGCACATACTAGGTTTTATAATTCTTTGTAAAATGCTAGCCTTAATTCTTACTATCCCTTTATTTAGGAAATCTTTTGTAGTAAAGAAACATCTATATGATAAGAGCTAATTTTAAAAAATAGCTCAACCCACCTAGAAGACTTTTACAAATTATCAAAGCTTAATAAAAAGTTGGAAGCTCATCTTCCTCGTCATAAAAAAAGGCGATAGAGGTATGAAAGGTAAATGATGGGCTCAATTTTTTTTAAAAAGTCCAAGTTGACCCCCTCACAAACAATGAGCTTGAGCTCAAAACAAAATAATTGACTTTTTCAAGAAAGATAGTTAGTAATAGATGTTTACGACCTGACCTCTCTTAGTGTCGTCAAAGAAATTAAGTATTGTGAAGTAACTTCACACGGTATTTATTTTACCAAATTTTTTTTAACACTTAGATCATTCTTTCTTTGCAGACACGTTAGACAAGGGTAGACCATTCAACTAGACCCACTTTGTACATCCTCCAAAGATGATGAGATGGCTAAAGTCCCCGTTCAGCTCAATGCCCCTTCAAGGGGCATCAAAATCATCGATCCTTAGCCCAGCCAGGTTGTGCCCCAAAGAGGCAGAAGAGCACAGCCCAAAGGCCTCAGAAGAGGCAGAGGATCGAGGCCTCCCCCTTCAGGCCGACGACCAGGCTGCAGCCCACCTCAAAACAGGTGGCAATCAATTTGGAATACGACTCCTAGGAGAACGCTTTGAGGATCCCGAGATGGTAAATAAGATCACGTGGGTCACCCTCTTCCAGAAAGGTCGGCATATCTTTCAGTTCGGTCTAGTCTTTTTTTTATTTTTCTAATTTCACCTAGTCTATGCTCGGTTTTTGTCTTTTGTTGTCTCTGAACTGCTCTCGACCTTCGTTTGCTAAAACAAGGGGCAGGGTATAACGAATGCCTACCAGACTATTATGCATTACCGCAAGACCGAGCATGACTTGAAGACCTATGCCCGGGATCTCCATACTATTGCAGAGGCAAAGAAAAAACTGAAGGCCTCTTATGCTAATGTGAAGAAGTCCAATGAAGAGCTAGGCAAGAAGCTCAAGGACATGTTAGTCCAAAAAGCCATAGTTGAGTCCCTTCAATAAAAGTCCGACCTCAAGCTGAAGAGGCGTTGGCCAAAGTGGAGAGACTGTAGTCAAAGCTTGAAGTTGAAAAAAAGGCTAGGCAGCAAGCAGTGGAGGATTTCTTAGTGTCCGATGAGTTCTACGATATGAAACGGTTGCTGACCTGGACTTGTCCGAGATCAGCCTTCACAATCTAAGGTCCTAGCAAGCCCCTCCACCTACTGAAGCTGCTGAGTATGATGAGGACGCAGAAATCAAAACTGCTATTATTGCTGTCTTTGAGGCTGAAGCTGGAGAGCCTGAGGTGGAGGTTGTAGCTGGTAAGCCTCCAACACCAGCTGCTGAGGAGCAGGGAAAGGAGCCTGAAAAGAAGGAAGCTTAGGATAGATTTTCTTTTTCTTTTTCTTTTTGATAATTTTGTAATTTTTGCTCAGATCTTGTAAATGACATTTCTAATGAAGTGAAATGAAAAATATATATATATTGCACAAAGTCTCAGCTCTGCATTTCTTTCCTTTAGTTCGCAGTTCGTCCTTCTGAAATCTGTAATTCCAATAACCAAGTCTTAGCTCGGTATTTCACAGATAAGATGAGAACAATTAACTAAGTAATAAATGAACTTGAGAATCTAAGTTGATATTTAGACGACTGTTAACTCAGTGTAGGGTTATGATCGAGATTCCCATTTAAATTACAAATCTGCTTCCCAAGATTGATTTTATAATGTTAGCAGATCAAATTTCATGATTTCTTAACTTATCTGCCTGCGGAATTAGAGAAAAAACAAGTATAAGGTCGAACAGTATATTCTCCCGACCTGGGCAATAGACTTTGAACTTCGAACTTTAAAATCAGCTCAGGCGTACATATCGCAAAAGCTTAAATTTGGACTAATATTCCCAAGTGTTAGCTTGATTGTTGCCCGAGCTTTGGACTTTAGACTAATTTTTGGTGTTCGAATCTGATATTCAATATGTCCAAAATGGATTTTAAGCTCTTATTCAGCTCAGAAATATAGTACAAATGGTTTCTGTTTTGAAGAAATATTGTTTTGTAGATATAGAGTAAGAGCAGGCGGAGACAGAATGTTCCTTTATTACGTACAAACACAGTTGTTACCCTTTGCTTGGACGTTACTTTTACAAGGATCAGACCATTCTAAATATTACAAATTTTCAAGAGGCAGATACAAAACAATCAGCTCTCTCAATTTTTTTTTACCTTACATCAGAAGTGTATGAGGCAAGATCTTGGCTCCAACCCAACACCAAAACGATAGCGGCAGTACCATCTTCAACTTTTCTTTTCATTTTCCTTAATTTCGTAGTTTTTCATCTCTTTTCTTGATAAATCTAATTTAAATTGTTTATTTCCCGGTAACTATTCGTTAAATAATAAAAACTCTTGTTGTTATCAGAATTCAGAAGTTTATTTCTGTTATCGTGCAAGGGAAACAAAGATGTGAAGTATACATTGTACAAAGGTATCCATTAACCATGTGAACTTTATCGCAGTATTGCTTGAAGATCGAAAATGAATGAAAGCTTCTGCTCTCAAACACTCCTTGCAAAATCCATGACATCCGTTGCTTCAATAGGGGATCCACTACGTATCAGTTATAGTTCAAATGTCCTCTCGTAAACGGGAAACTCTTCAGAAGCTGAAAGTAGAGGCTTCTGTACACAACCAAGAAGCATGGGTGAAATTTTTCCGAGAAAGAGAGAAATATTGACTCTTTCAACACAAGGATTGATACATGCAATCACATATGGAGCTTAAATATCCTCAAAGTGTGATTTTTTTTTTTTTTTTTTTGGCTGTGTAGAGTGCTTGAGGCCAATTATCCAAAGTTTATGAGAGAGGTTACCTGTGTGAGATTGGGGCCAAAAATTCTGCTTAATATTCTTGAACCACCGAGGCACCCTTCTTGGTTTGCTTGTTCAATTCGCTCTTGCATCAGGTCAAGTAATTCCCCGTATGTTATACTCGGCCTTCCTCTCACAACCTCTATTAAAACAAACGTCATTGCTCCATACATTGACTTGGAACTAAAAACCTGCACATGTATATATATTTTTTGATGAACTATTTACCAGGAATATTTGTATGCTGCAAAAAAATAAATTAGTCTAAAAAATATAAATTTTAATGCAAAAGGGAAACAAATATATATATATATATTTTTAATTTCTAAAAGCAAACATGCACTGTGACTTTGTAAGTTTATATTTTCTTCATTTGGTTTTGAAGGTTGCAGGATGATATATGGGTTTCACGTAGAGATACAACTTAAAAATAAAATTCTTAATTTAGTTTATGATTAGTTACATATTTAGTACTTGAATTATAGGTAAATTTTTTATTTGATACTTAAAATTTAAAATTCTTAATTAAAGTATTCGATTTTTGCATATAGCTAGACTGATATTGTTAATCAAATGAATTTCATATCTAAAAATAATCAATAAAAACACATCATGTGTTTCATAAATACCTCAGTCGAGTGCCAATTACATAATTAACTTTAATTGAAAAGAAAAACAAATGGAAAGGAATCTTGTTACTTGTTTATCTATGTTGGAAGTTTAAATTAATTTTCCTCCCTAGATCAAAGAATAAAAGAATGAAAAAGGGTCATTTGATACACAGTCAATATGTTGTCAATAAATCAATGACATTTCATAAAAAATTAATTTAAAATTTTAAAAATTTTAAACAATAAAAACATTTAATTTTAAAAATATATTTAAAATTATCTTTTATAAGAGGTTATTGTGTAGTTAACTAATCATAAATAACATTTATACATTGATAATATATTCAATATAAAAGCAATTATAACATTTATATACTAAGGATGCATTAAATATAAAACCAATTAGGAGTTTCTTACCGATGTGTCAGTAGCAACCTGGTTATCTTTGCAAGCACTGATAGAATATGCTTTGCCACCACTTGTTTGTTTCCTCACACCTGATGGAGGACTGTTATCAATCCACTTTCCTCTGATAACCCCCAGATAAAAAATTTCAAATATCATTACAAAAGCAAAGTAGATAAAATTTTTATAAGGGATAAGGAAAATAATGGTTGCTTTATGTGAAACTCACTTTTCTCTATCATAGACGTGCTCTAGATCAAGAACAGTTCCACTATGGCAAGCATCAATAATGGCATGAAGGGTGACACCCTCTGGCAGCGGCTTAACAATGGTGGCGTAAATGTCATCATCGAGGATCATGCCTTCTTTCAGAAAATCAACCGGACAGATGGTTTCGTCAAACCCATCTCTTTCATCATTATTAAAATTGGGCTGCCGTAAGCCATGTCCGGAGTAAAAGAACACCAGTGAATCTCCAGACCGGCACCCCTTCACCAGCCAGTTCAAGCAATTCTCGATGTTTGCCTTTGTTGGGATAAGTCGGGCGTCTGACTGTTCCTCTGCAGTTTGAATAGATATTGTTTTTAACAAATTAATGAGAATCAATCGAAATTGCTTGGTATAAAATTTATTAAGGGTCCAATTTGATGGGTGGCAATTAGATGAGATTGGGCGAGATGAAAAACAGTTGTAGTGACGAAATTGGATGATATAACAATGAGATTAAAATCAATGATAAAATATGTATTTGAATGAAAAATGTAACATTGTGATGAGATTGTGTATTTCAATGGACTGCACCACTAAATATAATCCATAATTTAAAATATCCTTATTTTCATGTACGGAAGGGCCACTGAAGCCAATTGCACTGTAGGGTGCTATCCAAATGCATCCATCATGCAATTGTATATAATTTTAAACTCATACTTCTATATTGAATCTTGAGTTTCCTTGGACCAATGCAAGAAGTTCAAAGCACAAAACATAGCAAATGCTAAAACAAGCACTAAGGCTGATAATAAATACCTGTGAGCTCCAGAATATTTTCCTCTCGAAATTCATACTTTTGAATCAACAAATCTTTCATGTTTAACACATCGTTTATGGTCCCCTTGAGCTTATACTTCCAGTTCTTGTAGCTAACACCGCAAAGCACCGCTCGTTTCTTCGCCGAAACGCCAGAGTTGTCCAAAGCACAAAGCGTAGAGTAATTTGTCGATGATGACCCTGAAGCAGCAGGTTTCTGGGTGCTACAGTGCAGAATTTTCTTCAACTTTTCCCTCATAGAGGTACCTATCAACGGAGGACTTGTCCTGCCATGCTCTTGGGAAGATGATTGTTTCCTTATTGTTCGATTTTGATTTACCGTATGGCAATGCGGGCAAATAACTGTTTCAGTATTGGTTGATGCTGAAAACCTTTGCCTGCAACGTTGGCAGACTATTCTAATTTCCATATCACCCTCTGCCTCCGGGAGGAAACTCATTGTTTGAAGTTTAATGGAACATTCAACAGAGAGAAAAGGGCCTGGCCAAAGCCAAGGCAAAGGGTCATTCCTTGCTTCCATCCTGTCTTTTATTATTATAGATGCGCGGATATATATATATATTATAATATTATTGATAGTATGACTACACTATGAAAAATATTAACACTCTCGTAACGTTATTTTAAAAATGATATCAATTAATTTTATATTATTTTTTAATTTTGACAAAGATTTTAATTTTCATATTTAAAAATAATTTCTTTAATTTTTTATTTTATCATAATTTTGATTTTTCATCCCCTTTCATTTTTTATTATTCCACTTTTATTTGAAATATATATGGGAACCTTGTTATTGAAACATTCTCAAAATATTCTATTATGTTGTAACATTAAAAAGAAATTTTCACCTACAATTTTTTAAAATTATTATTATGATTTTCTTAAAATTTATCTTCGAAGATTCGTATTTATTTTTTATGATTATTATATGAAATGCAAATAACGAAATGTTGATATTCATATAGAAAGTTTCTTATCTTAGTAATTTTAATTATTTTTCCCTTATATTATACCAACTCAATTTCTTTTTATTCATTATTTATTTCTTTTTTGTATTTGTTTAAATTATCTAATTGCTTCATCTTTATTATTATTCTTATTTATTTTTTTTAAAGAAACAAAAACAAAGAAAATTCCTTTTTATTGAAAATTTTTCTAGATACCTCAAATACTTTTGTGGCATTTTAGAAAATTTTCTTCATCTAAAAATTTTTTAGAAATCACTATTTAAACTTCTTTAAAATCCTATTTTTGGATATTTTCATTTTTTTTCTCTTTTTTTAAAATAAAAAAATATTAATTACTGCAAATAATATTTATACATTATTCATATAATCTTATTACTAAATAAGATTCATTCTGTCATCACTTTTGTTTGTATTTGTTTATTATTATTTATATTTTTTTAGGAAAATTAATAAATGAAAATCCCTTATATTAAATTTTTTAATATTTTATTATTTTTATAGTATAAAAAATATTTTTACATAGAGATTTTATGAAATTGTACTCATTTTCTTAATATCTTTTCCAAGAATTTTTATTTTTATTTTATTATGTATTTATTATATATTTTTTATTATGATTTTATTTTTTATATTTTTATACCTATGTTTTTTAATTTATCAATTAATTTTTTTAACACCAATTTTTTTATTTCTTAAAAAAAAATATTTATTCTAGCGGATTTAAAACATAAATACACATTAATAAATAATTAAAAATTTAAAAAAAGTTAAAAAATAAAAAAATTATCCAAGATCAGTTAATGCTGATCAATGGTTTAAGGGCTATTCAATCAATTCA